CCCCGTATGTGACAGATCGCACATTGGCGTTGTCCCTCATTGACTAATTCCAGAATCTTTGATTGGTACTCTAAAGCTTATGAAATCTTCATCACACCCAATCCAGAAATTGCAGTTTTTAGCTGCGTATGTTCCTGAACTATTCCTGCAACTATGCAGGTGCCAGTCGATCATGATGGTTGCAAAAAGACGTATCCTGAAGGAATGAAAGTCTGCTGCTCCTCCCTCCTTCACTGTCTGGCTCAATGACATGCTATCAGTCATAAAATGGAAAATGTTCTATACCTACAAACTTCTGCAGCAAATGTTTTCTCAAAATCCTGGACTCCATTTTTGAATTAACTTGGGAAAGCTCTGATTGTATGAACATGTACCATGGTGCTGCGGTTTCTCTGTTTGTTACGTATTCATGATATTTGATGTACTCTGGACACTGGTAGTTCATCATCACAGTGATACTTCTTGTCTTCTTGCCTGAGCACCTGAGCTGTATTTGTTTGTTGATGGGGTTTTCTAGATTGAAAAATTAAAATAAAATATTGCAAATAATTGTAAAACAACAACAACAAAAATATGTATTAAAAAATGTGAAACCTGCTTTGAATGTAACACGGGCTAAGATTCAATAAAACAGTCAATAACTCCTTTATGATTGTAGGTGTGGATGAATGTCGCCCCCTTGTGGCGTAAGTGAACTACACACGTGAACTTGTCGAGGTTAAGATGTTGATGTAAGATAATCTGGTGTTGCTCAGCCTTAATGCTGAATGTCCTCTATGAGTTGAAATCTCCTTCATCAATATTTGATCTCCAAAACGTGAACAGTCATCGATAAATCACGAGCAGGACTTTGTTCTGTTTTTGTAAACACCTTCATTGAATAAAAATCTAAAGGCTGTTTGGCTCTTGTAGAGTGTAAAACCTTTGCGTCCTGATCCCAAAACACGTGTGTGAATCCTGGAGGAGAAAAAGTAATAAGAGCTCCGATGCTGTCATCTGCTCGTCAGTAATAAAAGTCTGTTAAACCTGTGCAAACATACCGTCTTGTTTTTCCCCAGAAGCATGTGAGTGTTGACTTGTGTGTTTGTCACAGACAAACAGGCTGTGAAAGGGGCGCTCTCCTGCTCAGTTCCTGCTCTGTGTTTTTATTTAATTTAAAAGCGTTTCTGGGCCCTGTATTAGCTTCTGTCTCAAGTTCAAGCTCTCACCTTTTGCAGCATATTTACCTTCACCACGGTGTCAGTGGCTGTCACGATGTCAGTGGCTGAGCATTCAGATGTTGAGATGCTGTGAAACATCAAAATCTCCCAGGAGTGTTTGCAGCACCCTGTTGAATCCGAGCTAAGAACTCTGGGGGCTGTTTAAAAGTGTAACTAATAAAGTGGCATGTGAATGTATCATAAAAACGATAGGTCCCCCTAAAAGGAGGCAGGGAAGGTTGTTGCAAAGCTGTTTTTCATGTTGATTCTGGGAAATGTTGTGGTTTCCTTGTGCTGCCTTCAGGTGTTGTTGGAATTATGCCGAAATTTCCCTTCATATCCAGCAGATCCGCACACAGGAAAAACATGTTCGTGATTTAAAAGTTATAATTTAATTATTTAAAAAAACACAACAACAACAC